ACTGCCTTCGGCTCAGGTCATGATCCCAGAGTCCCGGGATCGAGTCCCGCATCAGGCTCCCTGCTGAGCAGGGAGTCTGCTTCTCCCTCTGACCCTCCTCCCTCTCATGCTCTCTGTCTCTCATTCTCTCTCTCGCAAATAAATAAAATCTTAAAAAAAAAAAAAAAAAGAGTACATGCAACTTAAAAGCCCTTTTCAATTGTTCGGGCTAATACGAAACCATGGCTCTGATAATCCAGACACCCAGGCGAGTCTAGAAATCAGTCTTATTTAGTTTTGGAATACCTTTTTCCAGGGGCTTATCTTCTTATTAGTTTTGCTCAGACTCTTGCAACGGGTTTGTTCCCTTAGGGCACACAAAGGGAGGGGCCGCGCTGGGTAACAAAGCCAGCAATTAACAGAAAATTTACAGCAGAGACTCCACAAGGTAAATGCTATGCACATGACTGCAGATCAAAATCTCATTATCCTATACAGACAAATCGCTCAGCTGTAATGCAGTTTTGTAATAAGAACACTGCTAACACTCAACATTTCCAGGATTTGGGAAATGAAAGGACACGGGGCTGATTCCTGCCTGTCATCTGGAAGCTCTCAGAGGGCATGGTCCTGTGTGTCTTGGCGCCCGCCACCACATCCCCAGCACCTGGCACAGGGCCTGGCAGAATTGGTGCCCAATCAACACACGTTGAAGGAATGAATGAGAATAGAAGTGTGTGAATTAACAAATGAAATGTTCCCAGCCCAGGGGCAGAGTGAGAGCTCACCCATCTTCACACCCACCCCCCTTCTTAGCTGAAGCCCTCAGGAGGCCTTTCCTGTCACCCACCGCCCCCACTGGAGGCTGGATTGGGTTCGCTTATAATGAATTCTTACAGCAGCACTGATCACAATGATAATTATATAGTTATTTAAGTCTGCCTCCACCTACTAGATCGTAAACTCCTCGAGGGAAGGTGCCCGTAAGCATTTGGTGGTGGGGGTGAGGGGACATTGTCGTTCCCCGCCCCCCAACTTTTTCTTTGGAAAAGTCTCAAACACAGAAAAGTTAGAAAATGGTACCATGATCACCAATGGACCCTTGGTTTAGAGTCAATCATTTTTTAATATTTGGGGCCATGTGAATTTTCTTTTTATGTTTAAAGGTTTATTTATTTGAGAGAGTGCACGTGCATGCGAGCAGGGGTGGGGAAAGGGCAGAGGCAGAGAGAGAATCTCAAGCAGACTCCCCGCTAAGCACGGAGGGGGGGCCCCCACCCCAATGCAGGGCTTGATCCCACGACCCTGAGATCACGACCTGAGCTGCAATCAAGAGTCAGCCGCTCAACAGACTGAGCCACCCAGGCGCCCCAGCCATGTAAATTTTCTTCTGTGCTGTATCCTCAGTGGAGGTATGGGTACATACTGGGGTTGTGCTCTCCCTGCTTGGGCTAGAATATTACTTTTAGTGGGAGGTGGTACCGATGGCTGAGGCAGGGAGCTTCCAGGGGAATCGAGGGTAGGTGCCATTTGGTAGCAAGACCCGAATGCAGAGGCAGGCTTCTCCCAGCCTGTAGGCAGTTGCCCTGAGATACCTGCCCCAGACCAACCCCAGGTAGGGCAGATCTTTCTTTTTTTTCTTTAATATAAATTTTTTTTAAAGATTTTATTTATTTGAGAGAGAGAGAGAAAGTGAGAGAGCACGAGAGGGGGCAGGGTCAGAGGGAGAAGCAGACTCCCTGCTGAGCAGGGAGCCCAATGTGGGACTCAATCCTGGGACTCCGGGATCATGACCTGAGCCAAAGGCAGTCGCTTAACCGACTGAGCCAGCCAGCTGCCTGCCCCTCCGCCCCCCTGCAAGATCTTTCATCAGGGAGAAAGACCATTACCTGGCTGCCACCGGAGGAGAACATCACTGTCCACATTGGGATACTGGTTCAAGCCCGAATCAACGAGCCATTCCTTCTATGGGCCAACACTTCAGTCTGGACCCCAAAATGCAACACTGAAAGAAACAGCTCAATGAAAAAGCCAGAAGCAGCAGCCCCTGAGGCCTGGGCTGCGCCTTGCTAGGTGACCTTGGACAAGTCATGTAACCTCAAAGAGTATATATTAATAGCAGCCCAAGCCACCTCACAGGCAGGGACTGGGAGTGGGGACATCCCAAGAATCTTCTATAGTTCTTTAATTATTTCACAGTGTCCACAATCTGTCTCCAACTAGACCATAAGCTTAAAAGCCAGGAACTATGTCTACTAACTTCTTTTTTTTTTGTCAAGTTGGCCAGGGCTAGCCATACTGCTGGACACTTATCAGTCAGAAGTCAGTGAGTGGACACAACGGAGAAATAGTTTTGCCACACAGAATCTTCACAGTGTTCATTCAGATGGGATAGGACTCTATTGAATACACAAGAGCTGAACTTCCAAGCGACACGCATGTCCAAATAAGGGTCCTATCCAACAACTCCATGGCCTGTTCTAAGTCACTAATTATGTTACCTTACTAGCCACGGTGACCTTCAACTGATTCTGGAAAGAATACCCCCCCCACACACACACCAGAGCACTGCTTGGATGGCACCATGTCTCAGAACTCCTCCAAAAGAACTCCTACGCTAGGCACACCTAGGCTGATTCTCCAGGCTTCTCTTCCCAAACCCTGGATGTGTGTTCTTTGGAAGAAACAAGCAGCAACCAGACATCCAAGGTCTCCTGAGTTAATTCCATCTTCCCCTGGTGAATTACAACTTCTTGCAGACACAAAGGATAGCAGAGAGACAAATGACACATAAACAAGAGCTTTACAGACTGGGGGAGGGGGGGCAGGGAGAGTGACGTCAGTTTTCCCAGAAACCATTTATCCTGATAACAAGGTCTCAAGTGCTTGGGCTGCTCTTTGAGCTTCAGAATCTGGCGTACAATTATGTTCTTCATCATACAGTATGGGCAAAGCCAGCCAGAGCAAACTGGAACCATGCAAAGCAAACCAAATGGCCCTAAATCACCCCCACCCCCATCTGCCAAACAAAGGGGACCTCTGGGTTGCCTCAGTCTGCCTGAGGTGAAACACAACCTTCTGGAATGTTCCCCGTTACAACAGCAATCCTAATCCAGGCAAGGGGGACTGGGGACAGAGCAAGGACAGGTCGATGCAAATTAATTAGCTGACAAGAAAAATCATTAGCATCCTTTTTGGTCACTAAAGATGGAGAAAGTATAAGCCAGGAGACTAATCCCTCTACTTAAGCCATGCCATTTCTAAAAATGCAGGTAACAGGGAGCAGAAAAACACTCTGGGAACCTTCAAAATGCCACAGCAATAAATATGACAGTGCCAATCTTAGAAGAGAATTCTCTCAAATTCCATTATCACAGAGCCTGGTCTATTTACTCCTCGCCCTTCCACATCATGACTGCATAAAGAGCTGGTGCTGGGGTCTGCAGGGGTTGGGGAGGTTCAAAAGCAATCACCCTACCCTTCCAGACAGGGACAAGAGGGTGGAATAAATTCATATATATCCTGTAGAGAAAATACTACCAGATTCCAGATTCAGATTTTGAAAACAAAAACAAATCAATTTCAATTACACCAAATACCTAGAGGCTTTTTTTTTTTTTTTTTTTTTGCACCGGAATTGCATGGACTATTTCCCTAAATAAGTAAGCTACAAGGTTTAAAAACTTGTGTGTGTGTGTGTGTGTGTGTGTGCGGTTGGGAGATTTTCATCCAGTACTCTTTGGTGTTATGGAGTTCACCTACCCCTACTTCACTCTCCCTCACCACAGAGTGCGGGTAATTGTGGGCTTCTGAAGACCCCAGATACCCATGGATGAACAGAAAGGCTAGATTGTTACCCCCAAATGGAATCATCCCCTCCCTTTACAACCAAACTTCTGGTCTAAAAAACACCCCAAACAAATATGAAGCCTCAGGTCACTTCGGTGTGATTTCTCTGAACATCCCAGGCTGGAAAACTTCAGTTCTTTAAAAGAAGGTGTTTTTTTGTTTGTTTGTTTTTGTTTTTTCCAGAGTCTGCTGCCAACAAAAAGAGAGACGGCACCGCTTTTGCAAGCCTCACACTAATTTTCCTGAGTCCCCGTAGAAGGAAGCCAGCTCCACAGGTTTTGGCATACAAGCCCAGTTACACTGAACACGCACCCGGGGCGGACCCCCAGAGGCCCGCATAGCCAGAAACATGCCAAAATACGCAGCCGGCCACCTACAGACCAGCGAGCTGCACACACGCACACGCACAAGCACACGCACTCACGGGACCCAGAGGCACCCAGCACAGGCAGAGAGGGGCCGGAACACACGGACACACGCCACGGAGGTGAGCGCCCACAGAGAACCAGGCGGACTCCTCCAGGGTCACAGACAGCCCCGGCGCCGCCGCCCGCCCGGGAGGCACGAGTGCGCGCGCGTGCACTCAGACGCACACGGTGATACACACACACAGACGCAGTCACATATGTAATGCATATGGAGAAACCCTACCCCAGCCAGTCACCTCCCCGCCCCCCCCCCCCACTCACCGCCTCCTGCCCGGGGCTCACCCCAGCCCCGCGCCCCTCTTCCGCAGGAGGCCCGGGTCCCGCGGGGGGAGGGGAGGGGGGACGCTGGGCGCAGGGGCGCGGCCCGACGGCCGGAGGAAGCGAGACCGGGGGGCCTGGGACCCCGAGGGCTCGGCGGCTCGCGCGGCCATTCATTCGGCAACGCCCCGGCGGCGCGGCGGCAGCTGCAGCGAGGGAGGCGGCGGCGCTCACTGCAGCTCTTAGGCAATGCAAGTTCAGCTGCCGGCCCGCAGCCTCCGCCAGCCCCCCCCCCCCCCGCCCGCCACCGGCGCTCTCGGGGACAGGCTGGGGGAGTGAGCCGCTGACCCCGGGAGCAGAAGTCCCGCCGCGCCTTGGCTCCTGGATGCTGTCCGCTGCCCTCGCCGCGGCCGCGGCGCCGGCCGGGTCTCCTCCGCCCTTCCCAGGCCCCCGGCCCCGGCGCCGGCACCCCAGCTCCGCACTCACCACCTGGCGAGCTATATCGGTCGCTGCCATCGCTCCTGCGTCCGCCAGGGCTGCCACGGGTGCCGCCGCAACCGGAGCTACAGCACAAGAAACAGCGGAGCTCCTCCGACAAAGAGAAAGTGTTACACTTCGGGCGCGACCAAGTCCGGTGGGGGGAGGTGCGAGGGAGGGGCCCCCGCGCCGCTGCTCCAACCCCAACCTCCCCTCTATCGCCCACCCCCTCGGAAGTAGGGTACGGGGAGGGGGCGGGTTTCACGCGCCGCTTCCCCCTGCGGCGAGCCCAGTTCCAGTTCTCCCTGCAACCTCAGCTGTAGGCCTTGGCGGAGGGGGGCGGGGGCTCCCCTCGGTGACCACGTCCTCTGCCCCCCCCCCCGCCACTGGGCTCCGTGGTACGTCCCGACCTCCGCTGAATTGTCACACCCCCCTGCTCTCGCCTTACATCCCAGAGTCCCCAGACCCCGGAGGCTGGAAGGGAGCTCCTGCCCCTCCCCCTCCCGCGCACAGCTCGGCGGCTGAGCTCTGCAGTCCTCCTCCCCCTCCTGCCAGCCCCCTGTATCCCCTCTTCCTCTCCACCGAGATCTCAGGGTGCTCGGTTGGGAGCGCCCGCGGCTGGAGACTCGAGACTCCACTACACCTCCTCCCACCCCCCACGGCCCGGGAGTGCTGCTGGGGCCGGGGGTGGGGGGGTGCCGCTGCGGCACCTGCCGCTCCACAGGGGACCTTAGAGAGGGGGCAGTTGGGGGGGAGCCGCACTGCGGCCCCGCAACTGAGCTGTGACGTGCGGAGTCCGAGGCCGGTGGACTCGAGGTCCCCTTCTGCCCTGGGGTTTCCAAACCTCCCATGCTGTGGGCTGTAATTTCGTGGAGCCGAGCTCACCACCGCTGGGTACTTAATACAGACGGAGCCCACGCCTCCTCTCCCCACCGAGCCCTAGAAGCTCAGCGTGTGAGCGGGGGCTCAGACCACGACCCCCTTCTAGTGAGTGCCTGAGTCGCCGGGGAGTCTCAGAGGAGGAGCTTGAGGATGAAGACCCCCAGCTCTGTCGAGCGGGATGTGGGAGTGACGGGGAGCCTCCGGTGGCTCCGTCCCGCCCGGATTTCCCCTTCACCTTCGCTCAGCCCGGGAGAAGGCGGCGGGCGGTGCGCAGTGAGAGCCTCCGAAGGCAGAGGCTGTGCCAGCCTGCTTTCCTTTTCCTCCTGGCCAGCCGCCGCCGCGGGTCCTCTCCCTCGCCCCTCCGCACGTCTCCGCCTCTCCAGCCCTGACGCCCCCCACCCCTCCCGGGGAGTGGCCCCTTGCTAGCTCCCTGGGACTAGCGAACCCCGGCAGACTTGGCGTGCCCGAGGCCCTAGCGGGCGGACACTGCGCTCCACTCCTCGGTAGGGCTGGTGCCCTGGTCTCGGAGAGGCGCCCAGACCCTCGAGTGGAACCCGGGACCGCAGGGGGAGGCAGGCCCACGGGCAAAAGCCGGGACAGCATGGTGGCCCGGATAGGACAGGGGAGATGGCCCCGCAGCGGCCCAAAGGCGGGAGCGGCAGAGAGGGAGGCAGGAGAGAGGAAAGGAGAAAAACAGGAACCAGGGAGAGAGGAGAAGGGCCCCGATGCCGAAGCCCAGGCCTGGGGAGAAGGAGGGAAGGCAGAGAAGTGGGGTGGCCACATATCGTGCTTTCCTGGCACTGGGTTCCACCTGCCGGGACAGTGCTTCTCACACTGTCTCAGGGAGCTCTCTACGTGCGGTGTGCACCTTGAGAACAGGAACTCCGCAAAATGCATCCCCGGTGCCTAGTTCGGGGTCTGGCATCCAGGAAGCGCCCAAGTAAGCGTTTCCTGAGCAAGAGGGCAGGGGATTGGGGTGGGGGAAGGGGTCCAGAAGAAAAAGACACAAGGAGGGGGTAGCAGTCAGGACAGCCGTGACGAGCCAAGTATTGAGGGTGCCCACCGTGCGCCCATCACTGCGGTAGAGACCCAGGAGAGGCCAAAAGAGAAGAGCCTGGCACAATCAGGGACCAGTACAGGGGAGTTCAGGAGGCAGCGCGGGCCCTCGGGGCAGATGGTGATGGCAGCGAAGAGGGGTGGCTGTAGTCTCCGAGGCCCGCCAGGGTGCTGGAGCAGGGCCTGGGGGAGGTGCTGGGCCCTGGATTGGGGTGGCAGCGACGCGCGGGACCAGCGCTGTATATGAGGAACCGCTGTAAGGCTGGGCCCAGACCGGATGGGGGCGGGGAGTCAGAGGTGACTGGCCGCTTCCCTGCTGGGTGTCTGGGAGGGAGACAGGTCTTCCCTGGCAAAGGCTGGGGTGTGGTGGACGGAGAAGGGCCTGAGGTCACTAAATGATCTGGACGTGGGACTTGGGTGGTGGCTGGAGGAGAGGGGTGCATCTGGAAGCCAGAGGCGAGAGCTGATATCCAGAGCGTCGGGGAGTGGAGCCTGGAGGAGGGCCTGGTGCAGCTGGGCTTCCCGGGAATCCTGCCTGCTCTCTGGCGTACTGCCCGCCCCCAACCCCCCTGCCAAGGCCCCCTCCCCGCCCCCCACCGTAGCGCTCCGTGCTGACCAAAGCTCCGTACATTTCAGCCCCCCCAGCGGGTACCTTAGCTTAAAATCCTTGGTGCCCCCGCCCAGGTGACCCACTCTACCCACCTGTCCCTAGGGACCCTCAGAACCTGGGAGGCCCCCTCCTCCAAAAATCTGGACCTCCAGACTGGAACCAAGTATGTAATTCAAGTCTCCTACAACCCTTTGGCCCCTCTAAGACCTGCTGCCTGCTGCAAGCCCTTGCGGGGTTCTGGGCATCCCAGTTTCCGTGGGCTGTAGGTTGGTACTGACGTGTGAGTAGGTGTGCATTTGTGTGTCAGTGGGCGTGTCAGCTACGTGTCCGTGTGTTTCAGCATGTGTCGATGTGTGTGTGTGTTAGCATGTGTTTACTCCTGTGTTTGTGTTTGTTGATGTGTGTCTGCCCGGTGTGTCTGTTTCAGTGTGTGTCTGTGCGTTGATGTGTGTGTGTTGGTATTTGTGTCATTGTGTGTGTGTGTGTCGGTGTATGTCCGCATGGGTGTGTGTATGTCAGAGAGGTTTTAGCTCACTGTGTGCTAGGCTTTACATACCTTGGCCTCACTCAATACAGTGGGCCAATAGCTGAGAGGTGTGGATTCTAATGTTTATTTCTTTTTTTTTTTTTTTTAAGATTTTATTTATTTGACAGAGAGAGACACAGCGAGAGAGGGAACACAAGCAGGGGGAGTGGGAGAGGGAGAAGCAGGCTTCCCGTGGAGCAGGGAGCCCGATGCGGGGCTCCATCCCAGGACCCTGGGATCATGACCTGAGCCGAAGGCAGATGCCCAATGACTGAACCACCCAGGCGCCCCTATAATGTTTATTTCAACAAAGAGGTCTGGAAACTCACTGGGTTGGTGTTTCCCAATCCTTGGTCCCGGATCACCTGCCCAGGCACAGGGCAAGCAGGAAGGCTGAGGCAAGAGGGCTCATGAGGGGTCAGTTTCTTCCTTGAATGTCTGTCCCCCTTGATGAGTGGAGCAAAAGATCCGCTTCATGAAGAGGCATTGTGGACCCTCAGGCGCTGCCCACGGACACAGGCCCATGTTCCATGTGTCCTGGGGGGTCCCTCAGGCCCAGCGCAGTGTCTGGCAGGTGCTCAACCAATGTTTGTTAACAGAGTGAATGAATGAACGGAAGCATTTAAACGTGCTGTTTTCAGTGTTTCCACTGTCCTTGAGGAAGCCAGAGCACGCTGCGATTTCCCAGGGCCAGCAGGTGACTGTCATTAGCATGCTAATGTTGTTTGTAGAACCAGCCTCCCGGGGAGGGGAAGTGGCTACCCCTGCTAGGTGGGAGTGGACCTTAATGGGAGCCAAGCTTTAGAAAGGTCACTCACTGCTGGGGTAGGGGGGTTGCTAAGACTGAATGGGGGAGCGGGGAGGGGAAAGAGGGCGATGAAATGGAGCTAACAGCTCAGGAGAGCCTTTGTCCTGAAATGGTAGCTTTATGAAAGGAGGAAGGGAGGGGTGGTAACGTTGGGCTAAAGTGAAGAAGCTAGAGAACAATCTGAAAAGATCAGAAAGTTGGAGGAGGAGGACCAAGCAAAGCAGAGGGAAAATGATGTGGGATAGAAGAAATCCAGATAGCGCCTGCCAGAATCAGAACCTCAGTTAAGGGGCGGAGTCAAGATGAAGTAAGGGTTCCTTTGTGCCTCATTACCTGCTGCTCCTGGTTTTACACTAATTTATCCCACTGGTTCTCAAAATGTGGTCTTTGTCTAGCAGCATCACCAGGGACATTAGTAGAAATGCAAGCTCCCAGCCCCCAGCCAAGACCTACTGAATCAGACCCTAGAGGGCTGGGACCCAGCAACCGGTGTTTGAACTTGATGCTAAAGTGAGTTCATCTGAAATCTAGCCCATGGAGGGATGGGACACAGGACGGGTAGGGGACGGTAGGATAGCGAGGGAAAAGCTTGAAGCCGGGGCTCCAGCGAGGATGGTAGGTCCTGGTGGATTTCTACATGGCCAGCATAAGGTTACAGAGTGCATGGGGTTGGGGAAGGGGTGCCAGAAAAGGCACAGATGGCACCCCTGTAGGGAGCTGGAAGATTCTAAAAATAGACTTCACTTCCTTTGCAATTGTACTCATTCGTTCCACAAATACGCACCAAGTCCCCACCTCACACCAGCCACCACGCTAAATGCCAGGGAACTCAAGAAAAGGTGGGCAACAAGAACCCCTACTGCGACCTGAGGGAGCTCCCAGGCCAGTTGGCAGATAGCCTCACGAACGAGCAGTGACGTCATTAGTCCGGAGCAAGACCTTGGGGAGATAGAGACCCAGAGAGGTGAAGAAAGGCCCCTGAAAGAAGAGTCCTTGGGTGGAGTCTTGAGGAATGAGTAGTAGGTTATCTGGTCAACAAGGGGGTGGCAGTGGGGGGGTGGGGAGTAGAAGAATGGTATTTGTAAAATCACAAGACAGCGAACATTTAGCGAATTCCAAGTCTTGGCCCTGGGGGTGGGGGGTGCAGTGGCTATAAATGAGGCTAGAAGATAAGATGGGGTCAGATCTGGAAGCATCGCATTGGTCATGCCAAAGAGTTTAGACTTCATGCTCCAGAGTAGGGGTTCTCAAGTTGTGCTCTCCAGGGACAATGCCTGCTCAGTCTGGAAACATGCCTGCCGCAAATGGGTGGATGCTCACAGTGAAAAAAAAAAAATCACATAATGGGTAGAAATTTCTCTATTTTAACTTTTTTTAATCATAAATTTTCCCTAAATCTTTGACAGATGCTCCTGCTTATCTG